TAGACAAGTTGGCCCCCTAATCTCCGACTAATGCACTATTTATTTTCTACCAGGATGTCAAATTCCACTTGGTCTGGCTCTAAAGTGCACATGCTTAATTACTTTTTTTTCTTTCTGTCTTTCTTTTTTTCTTTCTTTCGTCCCCTCTCTCTGTGTTTAGTGTAAATGGCTGTCATGCTGCCTGTGTTTCAGGGTAAATAAAGGCCTAAGGCTGACACCAATCCAAGCATTTATATTTATTTTAATAACATGCACAGGATAACTGAAGAACTGAATGGAAGGAAACCTGCAGAAAAGTGAATGTCACAGTTAACGCACTTTGGTTATTCAAGAAACCAAAGTAACTAAAGAACTAAACTAAAGCTTGGTTGATGACAACACACATAACTCTACACACACATGGGCAATCACTGATTCACACACACTCCAGACAGTTAAAGTGGTTACTACATTTGTAATGAATGTCACACTGCACCTTTGAATGTATATAGATTTAGTTTTGTATTGTTATGTACTTCTTTTTCAAAGTAAGCTCTTTCTGCTATTGCACTGCCGAGCTGACCTGTTTCTGCTCGTCCAACACCTTTCATTGTTCTGCTGACCCTGTGGTAACTTGCACATGTCAAATAAAAGTGACTAAATATACCCAATACATATTGATCAGTGGCTTAATCGTGGACTGTAGTGTCTTTTAGTATAATGAATATATTCTATGATGTTATGTGTACAACATATTTTATATTATATGTGTAGGATAACTGAAGAACTGAATGGAAGGAAACCTGCAGAAAAGTGAAAGTCACAGTTAATAAGTGTTTGGTTATTACAGTAACCAAAGCAGAAGTAAACTATACTCAACGTTGGCGTGTATGTATTTTTAGTGATGAAATCTGGGACTCATGTATATGAAATATAATCTTTAGATACAGATTACAGATAGATTATAATTGCTGTATCATAACATATAGTTTTTTAAGGACCTGTGGCGTCTGCCTTCAGGTCCAAGTTAAAAGGGAACTAAAAGAGAATTTAACCAAGTTCAATATTATCATGTGCAATGGCACTGAAAACTTATACTCATCTGTTTTAAAACCCTTTGTTTTATTCTATTTATTGCTTGTGTTTTCATATTTATGTATTAGACTGTAATGTGCCTTCTTGTGTGTGTTACCCTCTGTATCACTGGGACACTGCACATTGACAATAAAGGCATTTAAATGAATAACACACCATATTACTATGGATACATTTAAATATACAGTACAGGTTCTTGTTTTTTAAAGTGAACCTGACTTATTGTTGAAATTTACACTACTCCCCCAAGTCTGCTTTTACAAATGTGTATTATAATTGCTTATACTGCATATTACTTTACATATTCTCCTTTAATGACCCTTTTTACGATACATTTGTACAATACACACGTTTCTCTGTGCATATAACAATAAAGCTATTTCATTTGACTGAATTCACGCCTGTTGCTTGAGCTGGATAATGTTTGTATTTGATGCACAGTTTGGACTCCCCACTGTCAGATAACCATGTAATGGTGAAACTCATTGAGTAATTATAATACATGCATATAATATAATATAATACATACATATTATGAGCCATGTTCGGTCACTGTGTCTATTCAGCACTCATTTCACACTGCAGCATCTTTACAGCCTCTTTTCTTTTTTACAGTTGGTTCCTTTGCCCTAATAAAGCCGCCTGCATCCAGTCAGCTATATCTGTGTGCAGATCGTGTGACAGAGATGGAGCGCTGTGTTTAGCGTAGCCGAGAGACAGGGACAGGGTGCATGGGAATGTGGATTTTCACTGTTGAGCAGAACCTGTTAACTATCAATCACACACGGATCAGGTTTCACCGACATGCAAGATCTATGCTGCTGGTCATCGCTTTTCTGGCAGGACTGTTTTCTGTCAGTAAGAACGTATTGTCTGTAACTGTCTCTCTCTAGAAGGGTGGGGGGCTGGTTGAGGGAAATCTTAAAGTAGCATCTTCTCCTGTTGACTTATTAATACTTCATATATGATGAGGCAAAAAATGCAATAGAAGACCTCTAAAAGCTTTTATTCATAATAAAAACACAAAATGAACAGTATACATCAACAAGGCATTTTGTACACCAAGAAAACAACAATACAAATGTATAACGTTACACGACACATAAACATATTTACACTTATTCGTATGTCAAACTACAAGACTGCAAGTTCATCGGATAGTTGAACTCAGCAGGAAACTCATTTTTATTTCACCTCCTTTTATTTCTAGGAAGCCACTGACTACACAACATGTTGTAGACAATGGTGTAATTTAACTACTCCTCTAAATGTGCTGCCTGAGCATTGTATGTGAGATAACATCAGAGAATCCCAGATAACAGTGTGGAATGGCCTGGTGTCAGCAGATCAGACCTGGAATCTGTTAATAATGAGTCAGATCTGATAGAGAGTGCCTCTGGATGGAATAAAAGCTGACTGAGGATCTGATAGAGAGGCTGAGTGTGGTTTCAGGGAGTGACACTTGTTGCCCCGCTGCGGCTGACTCGGCTGTTCCTGTGAGAATCAAAGTCTTTTTACTCTGTCACACGCTGTCGTGATCTCAACTGTCGCAGTCAGCGCAAACATAATGTTGTATACATACATTGTGTGTGTGTGTGTGTGTGTGTGTATTGTCTTCCACTGCTCTAAAAAAACACAAGTAACCAGACAGGTACACTTTCCCATTGGGTCTTTTCAAAACAAACTTTTTTCCCTTTTAATTGTCTTGTCAAACTTCTGTGCCCTCGCGATGGTAGATGATCCCTGACGAGCCTAGCATAGGGTAGAAATGCCCATTGGAGCTGTTGTACTGGCTGAGGATAGGGCTCGTGTACCCTAAGGAGGAATGGGTGGGTGAGGAGGACAGCACAGGGGGAGCAGACACTTGTGGTACCCACTCTGAGCCGACCGAGTTGGGGGAGTAGCTGCTGAAGCTTACTGGCTGTGCGGGCCTATGAGGCCCATCTAGAGGCAGGTTCATCTGCAGCGGCCTGCTCAACCCGTCACCTCCCCCCTCATTAGCTGCACCGGAGGTCACTCCAGACATCTCAGACAAGAAGCTGCTCAGACACGGTGCCGGACCCGATGACGAGGGGGACGGGATCCTGTCCGGTGAGGGGGAGATGTTGAGGGCAGGGTTTCCAGAGAGTTTGGGGCTGCCCCTCTCACTGTCGCCTGACTCTGGAGCCCCCGAACTGCCTTCCCCGCCCGAGAGAGTGTCAGACTTTCTCTTCCTCTTGCGGCGGAAGTTTCCATTGTCAAACATCTTTTCGCAGTTTGGGTCAAGTGTCCAGTAGTTGCCCTTTCCTGTGATATCAGAGAGGAAAGTCCAGATTCAGTTAAGATTTTAAAACTGGGCAAACAGCTTTACAAGATACATCACACCATGAAAATGACAGCAATATAATCACACAGCAATGGAAATGAAGCGAATGAATCATATAAGCAATTTTCTGTTAGAAAGAATTATTTGAAACAGAGTAATAAATAAAAATAATTTTTAAATATTACCTGGGTCATCCTCGTCCCGGGGTACTTTTTTGAAGCAATCATTGAGTGACAGGTTGTGTCTGATGGAGTTCTGCCAGCCTGCTTTACTCTTGTTGTAGAAAGGGAAATTGTCAGCAACGTACTGGTAAATCTGACTCAATGTCAGTCTCCTTTCAGGCGCTCCGTGGATGGCCATGGCAATGAGAGCGGAATAGGAGTACGGGGGCCTGACCAGCTTCATCAGGTCTTCTTGTGAGGGCAGAGAGAACCAGCTCAGCTCCCCTCCTGGGCCCCCAGCTCCGGCTGGACCCAGGTAAGGCCTCTGCATGCCGTAATGCTGAGGCACAAAGGGGGGGCCGGGGTTACCAGACGGGCCGGCAGTGGCCAGGTACGGCGGCGTGTTGATCCCGGAGCCATTGAACCAGAGGTAAGGGTTTGGAGTGGATGTGGTGTAGTCGTTCAGGTCGTAGGAGGTCGGAGTCGTGCGCTGAGGACTCGGCAGTGAAGGAGGAGGGTAGTAACAGTCGCTGTACATGCTGAGCTCAGGGGGCTCCTGTCCGAGGCTGGGGAACTGAGGGCCACATCGAGGAGGAGACTGGCCCTGGGCTTCAAATGAAGACATTGTCAAGTTCTTTCTCACCTTTCTGCTGCGGAGGTTCTTCCTTTTGATATCAAACAGACTTTGTAGAAACTCTGTCAGCCCCTGAGAGTTCCTTGTCCAGTCCTCTCTGGGTATTTGAATGTGAGTTGATCCAAACAATGCTCTCAAAGCTTCCCAGTGGTAGACTTCTTCCCCACCCCTTGCTTGTCTGTTTGCCCTTGGTTTATGTCAAGAAGTCACCTGTCACACCGGCTTTATCTGTTTCCCTGGAAACGCCCCATCTCTTTTGATTGGCTGCTCTCTCAGGTGAGCTCTCATTTTTTCCCCTGTGTCAGCTTACTTCAGTCACTCCACAGGTTTTGTTCACCCCCAATCAAATAATTGTCCACAACATGCTGCTCCTCAAACATTAATCCAGTTCTTTAATATGTCTTTACTTTTTAAATAATTATGATAAAAAAATTAAAAGACACTCAAATAAAATATTTATATACATATTTATTTGTTTGACTAATTGAAAATGGATAATAATTACTAGTCGGTGTACTGTAAGTGGAGGCGGTATGTTTTTACTTTTTCCAAAGAAAATGGTAGGAGAAATATTACTGAATTATTTTCATTACACTATTCAGTACCATTGGGAATACTATTGTATTATTACCTGTCGATGTAGGGGACTATTTAACTTGCATATATGTTAGATAATATTTTTCCACAATTTTAAATGTTAGCCAATATCAAATAATATACTTTGATCTTAATATTATTGGCAATCCAGTGTGTCTAACTCTAAATGGTCCTGCTTGTGTCTAAATGGATTAAAATAGTTGCGTGGAAATCCCAAGACGTGACTTCCGGTTACAGTTAAAATAGAGAACGCGCAACACGTCGGTGATTTTGCTGAAGTTCTCGCGAGAGCTCCTCACTCCACAGATTTGACTGTTCCTCTGAAGAAAACGTTTGTGACGTAAGTTTGGATAAACTTTAGAATGAAATAACAACCTGTAGCCTCGCTGACCGTTCATAGAAACTGCAGCCAGGACACGTTGAAGCGGTTGTTCTTCGTGGTTTAACGTTTAACCTGTTAAAATCAAAAGTTAAGATTAGCTTCCAATGCTAGCCCGCATAGCTAACAGTCTGCTGCCCTCACCCGGTCACCGCCAGCAAAGTAGCGGCGCTGTCAGCTAGCGTCGGTTAGCTCGCTAGTAGCCTGTTTAATGGACTGACAGCTCGATAAAAAATAAAACATGTCGGCTTGTAATTTAGATGACCGACTCATCTTCGTCCGCCGAGCGTCCTCAGGTGGACAAGGACCACATGTTGGAGCTGAACAAAGATTTAGAGAAGATGACAGAATGCGCTGAGAACATGTCAGGTGCGTGACTTGATTGTGGTTTCATGTAGCATCAGTGTTAGCCCCCATGTGTTACAGGGATTCAGGTGTATCTGACGTGTCTTATTCATATCGTCCACCTGCAGTGCAGTTGACCTGGATGGCCTATGACCTGGTGGCCCTGCGGACCAGCCCTAAGCTGGGGGCCCTCCTGCAGAGGCTGGAGGAGGCGTACGACCGCTGCAGAGCCGCTGTGTGTGGAGACCAGAGCCAGGAGCCAGAGCTGGAGGACTGTGCTGATCCTGCTGCCACTTCCCTCTCTCAGATCTGATGTTGTTGTCCAGCTCCATGCTGTGCTGAAGACAAAGGGAGGAAAGCTGTCCAAGCAGAATAAGCTCAAACTGGAATTGTTGTTTTGTTCAAGTAAATATTGTCATTGCTGTGGGGATCTAAGGGGGAAGCAGGTAGTTGGACGTACCTGCCTTTGATTACATTGAAATGAATATATGTTAAAAACATGTTTTATTCAGTAATGTAGACTGTAGTATTTTGATTTCTTAACAGTTGATGTTAACATGGCTTGTTTGTTTTGTAAGTAAGTCATTTGATCTATGTACCTTGTTAAAGTGAATAAAAAATATTAAATTAAGAATGTGGACTGTTGGTTTTTTTTTTTTTAGATAAACCTCTATTTTTAACTTGCTAATGTCACTTTATTGTATATTTGACTTTTAATTTGAATGTTTGACCTTCATGCACAGTTGCATTTTGACTTTGTTAGAGTTTAATGTTTTATATAGTTTAGTTTTTACCTGTTTTGTGATTATTTTTCAGATGGAAAATACAGAGAAGAGCAGAGAACAAGCTCCCCCCTCCGCTTCTGTGGAAAACATACTCAAAGGGCTGGACTCCATGTCTAACTGTATGAATCAACTGGCATGTATGTATAAACTGTTTTATCCCCATCCACACCCTTTATAACATTGTCAGTAAGATGACCGTGATGATTTACAAATATGCAAAGCGTATGATGTAACTGTTATTCCAGATCTGAAACATGATATCCAAAAGTGAGTTATTGTACAGCTGCCCAGCTTAGCCTTTTCTTGTAGATGTCAGTGGCACGGAAGTACATGATACTACATGATGGCTGTCAGATCCCACCCCGCTGATGGGTAGATAGGAGTAACTGAAGGATTTAACGCACATAGCTTTCCATCATTCAATTTGATGTGAGGTGTGATGTCGCAACTACTTTTTTTTTTTTTGCCATGGGGGACAGATGTGGGCAGAGAGGCAGTCAGAGCAGTGTTCTTATTTTGTTGTCTAAATTATAACTGTGCACTCACTTTTATCTCAGAGGCTGGAAACAAACATCAGAGCTTTGTCTTAAATAAAACTTTTTAAATGTAAGGATTCATGTTTTTGTGACTCTTCATGCTGTATCTCTTCTTCACAGTTTATTGTCTTGGCAATTTAAAAAAAAGAAGAAGGAATGACTGAGACAAAACAACACAAGATGTTCTCTGTCAGATACCAGTGTTACTGCTTGTTTCAATTTCAGTTAGTTTGTAGGATGAAACTGGCAGATTATTTTTGAATACAAAAGCGTAATTTATGGTTTCAAGGAAATATCATACAATACCAATATCACAATGACGTATCGTGTCTCGGTTATACATTTGAATACAAGTTTTCTTTGAAATAACTGAAGAAATAATGCAGCATATATAATTCAATATATTTATCTATTATTTAAGTCAAATATATATTATATATAACATTAGTACAGTAGAAATATAGGTCCCTTTGAAATGTATACCTCGACATGGAGACGTGGTCAAGAAATGGTCAGCAAAATTTAATTAGCATGTGTTTCCATTAGGCTGTTTGCTCATGAATGCTGTAATCTTTGATGTGGTGCCTAATATGTTTTGCAAAGGGCCTTTTGGACATCTGAGAAGTGACAGCATTGTAAAATATGATATTTGCTTTCAACCTGCAGTGAGAACCCAGCTGAAGCAGTGTGATCTGATCGTTTGTGTTGGCTCCCCTGACAAGCTGCCGAGTCTGAAAAATCCAGGAGGCACTGAAGCAGCGGCTGCCAGCTTGACTTGAAACTGAAGCATGAAGAACAGAGGTAATGTTGTGTGTCAGGAGGACATAGTTTCATAGATTATACAGATCAGCATCCGTGTAAAAGTCTTAATTTTTGTCTAGTTCTGTTTTCCAAAAAATACATGTGAAGGTACCAAGAGAGTCAGAATTACATAACGACCTTTTATGATTGTGAATATTGTGACATTTGTTCAGATATTCCTAAAAAGGTTTCAAACAGGGCACATACACAATATGCATGTGCACAAATTAGCAAACGCACACACTACAACACGTAAACGCCCACATTAGGGCCGGTGCTGGTCAGAGTCCCACTGGGTGCAGCAGACTACATTGGCTCTCGCTTCAGAGATCCGGTCTGTGGCATCAATGAGCAGCAGCGGTGTGTGTGTGTGTGTGGGTGGGTGTGTGATGGGTAATCATCTCCTGCACCCCAGGGAAACTGCAGCACAGCAGCATACAAAAAGAGATGACAGGGACCTAATGACGCAACGCAGCAAGTCTGCATCAAACTCTTCAAGGCCATTTCACAAGATATGAACTTAACAGTTTACTTGGAACAACATTTTCCCCTCATTATAACAATGCAGATTCACACATCGTCATTTTCACTTTGCCTTTTTGTTGTTGAGCCCAGTGCCAAAGGAGTGGGAGTCTCTTGGTTATGGATTTTAATGTTGTAAACCTTGACTTCAGTGGGATCTCAGCAGAGCCTTTCGAGCTGTCCCTAACCACAAATACCCTGTCCTGAAGACAGATACACATTCACTCACACACACAATCATTTGTAGTCTCAACAGCACGTTTGTGTATATGTGTAGGTTTGTCATTCTGCTCCAGAAGAGGGATGAGATATGTGACACTGTGAGAGACAGCGCCTGACCTCGTTCAACTCTCTGAGAGCAATTTCAGCTTGATGTCTGCTCACCTTTCCAACTTACCAACTGGAACCCAAAGCCTGGATGCAACATAAATCTTTCATAGTAAGGACCAAAAAATCTCCAAGGTTGTTTTTCTGTTGAAAAAAAAAAAAGAGTAGAAATACAGAAATATGTTTTTAAAAAGTTGTTGCTGTTGTATAAGAAATGTTACTCAGGTACTCCTTGTTACCCAGCTCAGGGAATAAAATGCCATCTCTTGAATTCTCAAACAGCCGATAAAAGCGCTCGTCTGTGTCTGTGCAACGTCGCCATCTGTTGTTTCCTTAATGAAAGTGCTTAGCGTGTGATTGCACAGGAATGTTCAACCTTAACATCTTGTATACGTTCCAGTTAGCAAACTATACACAGAAATTGTGGTCTGATTGTGATTCTGCCTTTGATTGTCACCTGGTTTTGGTCCTGATATTGAATGGTTCATTCACCATAACAGGTTTTCTTGCCACCGGTCTGGGAAGAGACAGATTAATAACTAAAATAGGGTTAGGGTTTAAAAATACAACCTAAAAAACATATTTAAAAACTTGCATATTTTCATTACCCAGGATGCAGTGCTTGCTGGAGTTATAAGTTGTTTAAATTACCTGTTTGACATGTCCCTGGGTTTGGAGTGGCTTGTTTGAGGTAGTAGCCTTGACAGCGCTGCCCTCTTGTGGAAACCATGGATTGTGTGAAATAGGAATGTGGTAATATTGAGATATTAAGATTTGACTGTTGATCTGTTACAAACACAACATAATGAGCAGCATTTACGCAGGTTTAAAAGATAAGTTTTTTATTGATTGGTCTGGATGTCTGGGCTTCTTGCTTCTGTCAACATTCAGATGGAACTGACCGGCTCTTGTTAACTGAACCAAACCAAATATCTTAGCTGAGAGCAAATCAAAAGAGCATTGTTACCTTCAGTAGGAAGGCGACGAATTGCATGTTGGAAGGTCCTTTCCGCAGATGAGGGGTCATGAACTGGATCCTCTTACACACAACAAATAAGTTGGCAAAATGCACACTGGGTCTGGTTTGGAAGTGAAATGCAGCAGATCCACAGACTCGTTCTTTCATGTGTGTGCAGTTCTTCGTGCACACCACCATGATTTATTTCTGTTACGTCTGGAGTCAAAGCCCTGATGTTGAGCTTCTCTTAAAGGGCGAGGAGGCTTCATGGTGTCTGCAGATGCAGGTGCCTCATAGTTACCTTCACAGGTCACTGTGTTGCTGCTCAGCTGTTTGTGGCTCAGTCAGAGCACTGATGTAGTCATCTTCTTCCTACTCCTGTTCCTAGTCATTATCAGTATCTATATTAATGTCCACAGCACAAGCGATGAGAGGGTTCAACTATCATAGAATGCATTTTTTTAATAATTAATTTTATTGCATACAGAGCAATATTAGAAAATTTTTGTGACATCGGCATAGTTTGATTTATGTCTTCTTTACTGTATTGTGGAGACCTTTGTGCTTTTCTGAACAAAATATAAATATGAATAAATATGAATATATGTCCTCTAATTGTGCCTGTTTTTGTAGATTTCATTTTGGAACTTGGTGATTATTCTAGAAGTTAGATGCAAATATTCATTATGACAGTACCACTCTTACAGCCCAGTGCATATAATACAAAATCAAAGACCAGAAACTACCTTGTTTGTGTATATGTTCACAATGAACTTTTATGCTGATAGAATATTTGTTAATATTTGTGGTTTTGAGTGTTTTTTTCAATTTCTTTAACATTGTGAGATTGACCGATTTTCAACGTTGTCACAGTTTCCCCAGTGAATAATTCATGGATCTTGATGGAAAAAAATCAGGCACATTTATGAAACTGGTATCTATGAGTGTGTGTGAAATTTGGTGCCGCTTGATTTAGTTGTAGGGGATTGTTGAGCCTTGTTGAAAGTATTCGCTCTACTGAGAGACATCTAGTAATAATGTCTCGATTTGACATATCTTTTCTACTCACTGTCTTCTTGTAGTCAGCGAGACTTTGTGGATTCCATCACATCACCTCCTCTTTAGAGGGAACATTGTTTAAACT